CGCCTTTCTCAATGACTCTGGCACATACTACTGTGCTGAGAGTGAACACAGTGGTGAGACTGCTAAGGGAGCTGAGCACAAAACTGTCCCTGCACAAACAGGACCTGCTTTCCACTTGTGGCTGCTGCACGAGGCAGGGTGATCATTTCTTACTCCTTTGCTGCTCTACTTCCGGGGCTTGCCTTCCTTCTCTTCTCAGATTCTGACAGTTTGTTTGTCCATCATTGTCTCCTTGCCACTCCAGGCCTCCCTTAACATGTAAGTCTTTTTTGCACTACACTTGCTTCTGTCAGCCCTTCTTTTTCTCTCTGTCTCCCTTCCCTTCCCCACCTTCTTCTTTCTGTCTTCAATCTGCACTCCATTGTCCTCCTCTTAATTAACTCCAGTCAAATCTGCTCATACTTCTCACTGTGAAATGGAAGGAGGGCTTGTGGGGGAAGTTCTTGGTGCACCTGTGCATGAAGGCAAGGCCTGGCAGGTGTGGCAGTAGCCAGCACCGTGTGGCAGCTGCCCACATGCTCCTCTGTTTCAGCGTCTCGTGTGTGGTTGTTCTGTGGCCAAAGAATAGGAACAGCAGAGCACAATCCTGTGCTTGCTCTGGTAAAGTGTTCAGTGGATCCCCAACTCCAACATGCAGAGTGGTGTCTGGGGCAGGATCCACCTGTCTTCCAGCCCTTCATGCACACAACACAGTTTATCTTCAGCAAACATGGGATAAAAGTTACAGGTTACATTAGAAAGCTGAGCAGATAACAGAAATTTCTCACAGGTTACGATGTTCTATACATCAGTGGCTCAGATGAAGGGTAGAGAGTGTCGTTATGAAGTTCCCTGAGAACAGCAAGTTAGGAGGAGTTTCTGATACCTGAGACGGCCATGCAGCCCTTCAGATGGGCCTTGACAGGTTAGAGGGATGGGCAGAGAGCAACATTGTTGTATTCAGCAAAGGCAAATGCAGGGTTCTGACCCTGGGGAGGAATTGCTCCTTGCAGCAGCACAGGGAAGCACTGACCATCAGCTCTTCAGAGAAGGACCAGGGGATCCTGCTGGACAAGAAGCTCCCCATGATTCAGCACTTTGTCCTGGTGGCCCTGATTCCAGGAATGTCCTGGGATGCGTTAGGAAGGGCATTGCCAGCAGGGCAAGTGAGGCTGCACTCAGCCCTGGTGAGGGGCACATCTGCAGTGATGTGTCCTGTTCTGGGCTCTTTGGTGTAAGAGAGACATGGAGCTCATGCAGAATGTCCAGGACAGGAGATGAAACGTGATTAGTAGAGTGGAGCACCTCTTTAGAGAACAAAGGCTGAGGGAGCTGGGCCGCTTCTGTCTGGAGAAGAAACAATTAAGTAGCCATCTCATCAATATCTAGAAGGATCTGAATGTAGGGTTCCAAGAGATGGATCCAGGTCCTTCATTGTAATGCCAAGCATTAGGAGATGTGGCAAAAGGTAGAAACACACCTTAGTCTGTATTAAGAGCATTGCACTGGAGAAGACTGTGCAAAAGAGTAGATTGCCCAAAGGTGTTGTGTAACCTCTCTCTCTGGAGATAGTCCAGAACCATTTGTGTACCCTGTGCTGTGGGATGACTGCTGGAGCACGGAGGTTGGAGCAGTGACTCCCTTAAGTCCCTTCTTGGCTGGCCCATCCCATGATTCTGTCCTGCATGACACACACCCGTGCACAGCACAGGCCTGCTCAGGGCACTCCAGGTGCTTCCCAACCTGCACATTCCCATGTTAACCTCCAATCTTCCCAGAGCCTAAACACAGGGCCCCACACAGCAGCCATGCCTGTTCAACATCACTGACTCCTCAAATCCTGTGTTTCTGCAAGGCTCCCCATGCACTGCCCTGCCCTCTGCTCACCCCAGGGAACTGGAGACCCTTGGCATGGACACATCAGGCACAGCCTCCTCTCTGCTGGAGTGCTGCTGCTGCTGCTGCTACTGGTGTTGGCAGGATTTGGGGTTCCTACAAAGCAGCCCAATCTCTTTGCTTCTTTCTACAACTTCTGTAGAGGAATCTGGAGTCTTTGCTGAATCTTCTCTAGGCAGCCTGGGGAAATGAATGCAATGGGACACACTCAGAGCTGCAGCAGAGGATTTGGGAGGAGCTGCAGGCATTGCTGCTCTCCTCTGCTGACAGGACACAGGGGAACATCTTCACTGCAAAGCCCTTCAGAGCCCTGGGCACTGGGATCACTCCATGTCCTGTATGGGCCAGCCTCACCCTGCTGTGCACACAGCCCAGCACGGATGGGCAGAGGCTGTGCCAGAGCTCTGTGCCCAAGCTCAGGGCACACAAACTACGAGTGTCCCTTCCTGCCTACAGGGATTGTCCACTGCCTTGGGCAGGTGAGCAAGGCTGGGTGGACACAGAGAGCAGAGGACATGGTTTTCTCCAGCTTTGTCCATTTCTGCTCTGGAGCTCTTTTGCAGACTGCTGCGATAAAGAGACAAGGATTATATCTGTTCTTCTCTGGCACAGAGAAGGTCAGGGTGTATCAGCACATCCTGTGGGGCACACCCTTCTCATCAGAAATCTCTCTGAGATGAAGAGTGTCTCCAAAAGGATAAACTGAGTGCAGAAGGAAAGCCAGCCTGTTCTCTCCCTGAGATCCCCCTCGGGAGTTAGAGAAGAACAGCTACAGAACTATTCTCTGCCAGGCTCCAAGAGACACCAGCTCTGCAGGTCAGCAGCTTCTCCCGTACCTGGACAACACGTCAGGCCTGACTGGGAGAAGCAGAGATTCCACTTTGCAACTTGCAGGGCTGGGAATCTGTGAGTGTCAGGGAGGCTAGGGAGGACACAAACAGCGGGACACAGACACACAAATATCCATTCCTGAGATCTCCTTGTCTTCCCCTCAATTTCTGCCACTGTGTGCATTCCTGCACACTCAGGCTGCCCCACAGCCCCATCCTGCTCCGTGGTAGCTCTGAACTCTGGCACCTACTGCAGTCCCCCCTACTCTTGCCCAGCCACGCTCGCACACAGCAGGAAGCCAGAGGAGCAGAGCACAAGCAGCTCATGACTGCCTGCAGGTGTCATTGCCCACCGTTCCTGGGCAGCCAAGAGCCTTGGTGACATTTCAGACTGCCGCTGCCTCCCCTGCCCACCCACACAGAGACGCATCTCTTGCTCTGCACCTCTCCTCTTTGCACACCTCTGTGTCTGTGCTGGCACCAGGGGCAGGTGCCTGGAAGGAGGGGGCCTTTCTCCATGGATTTCCACCGGTTCCTTGTGGCCATGCTGCTCCCTGTGGGTAAGTGGGCATTCCCTTGGTCCTGATCAGCTGCACTGGAGCTGCTGCTGCATCCTCCGCTCTGCTCCCAGTTGCTGGCACTGCCCCTTCCCAAGGATTCCAGGGCAGGGGTGGGCAATGAGCCACGTGAATTTTTCCACAATCTATTGAATCACAAACCTGTAGAAAAGCTAGAATTTTGTGTTTTCCTGCCCCATTTTAATTAATCTCTCTAGAGCACTAAAGTCTTTATTTCTCAAAAAAGATTTGGTGTTGCATTTGAATTTGGTTTGTTTGGGATTTTGGAACCTATATGTCTTTTTCAGGGACGCTGGGGAGAGATAAAATGGTTTCTGATATCCTGGTGCCCTTCCATCCCATGAGATACTTTAAGGATATGTATTATTGTTTTCAATGCATTTCACTTCCCACCTTTCATCTCCTGTCTCTCCAGGCTGGGCCCTTCAGCAATCACCAGATACAGTTGTCCGGGTGGGAGACACCATCACTCTGGAATGTTCTGCATCAGGGAAAACTTTTGTGAACATGTACTGGTACAAGTTACCCATGGAGAAGGATGCCAGAATGCAGCTGGTTGTGTACTCAGTGGAAGGTGGCAAAGCAGATATTGAGAAGGAATTCCAACATCGCTTCCAGAGTAACGGGACCAGGAACAACCATTTAGCTGTGCAGATACAGCATGCCCTACTCAATGACACAGGCACATATTTCTGTGCTGAACAAGATCCACAGTGAGTCAAAGGCTGGTGCAGCACAGCACAAACCTTTCCAGGCAGACAGGGATCTGCCACCAGCACACATTGAGCCCTGTTTGAGTAAACTCCTTTTTTACTTGCCCCCCAGCTCTTCAGAAAAACACTATATAACTGTCTGTCTGTCTTTCTGTCCATCTATCTGATCATCAATCTGTCTTTACCTTGGTCTCTAGCTACTTTTCTATTCTTTCCCATCTCTGAATCACTTTCTCACTCTCAATTCTTTCTGTCCTCACTGTCTGACCTCCATTATATCCCATTCAGATTGTTTCTGACTTTGCTCTTTTCACGTCATTCTGTCTGTCCCCCTGAATTTTCTTCTCTGTCCTCTCATACCTAATCCCCTCCTATTTCCTCTTCCCTTCCTCCTCCTTCTCTCCTTCCCTCCAATCTGTTACATCAATTCTTGGCCAGGAAAGCAGGATGTGGAAGAGTTCACACAGCACGTTCCCTCTCCACCAGCTGGAAAGGCAAAGCCCACCGGTCCTTGTCCCCACTGGCCTGCAGGGAATCGACACACAGCCCATGTTACACCCATGCCCTGTGACCTGAACAATCTGATGTCTGAGAATTGTCCCTGCCCACAGCAGGAGGCTGCCCAGGTGAGCCATGGAATGTCCCTGGTGACCAGGACAAGGACCAGGAGGAAGAAGCCCAAGAGGAGTTTTCAGCAGGGCTTGTTGGTGTCTCTGAGCATCTTGTCTGGTCCATCCACTCCATCTCCTGCTGCTTGCTTAAAGTCACGAGGTCTGCCCTGACTGGCTTATTCCTCTTTATTTCCGCTTATAAAAAGAGGACCATGGCCCAGGGGAATCCTCACCTAAATGCCCATAATCCATCAAGAACAGCTGCTGGGAATTCTTTGCTGGAGTGTGAAGCACAGGCTTGGTCAGGGGAGCTGCAGCTCATGCCATAGCAGTGGGGACATGGAGATGCTTTCTGGTGCTCAGGTCCTTGTGGTTAAAGCCCAGTCAGCTGCTGGGTGTTACAGGCACTCCCTCACTACCCCCTTGCCCTGGTGGGATGGGAAAAAGGCTAGAACTGACAGGCTGAGATCCAAACACAGCAATAATAAGAGTAAATAACAAGGAAAAGACACAGAAATAAAAGTCAAGTAAATCCATGGGATACATAATACTGTCACTCAGCACCCATTGCCCTGGTGGGCAGCCCATCCCTGAGCAGTGACAGGCAGTAGGTGGCCAGGTCCCCTCCTTGTCCATGCAGAGCATCAGGCTGAATGGGAGGAAATGTCCTTTTGGCCAGATTGGGTCAGCTCTCTCAGAAATGCTCCCTTCCAGCTGCTTGTTCAGCTGCTCTCTGGCAGAGCATGGGACACTGGAAAGTCCTGGATTTGGGGTAAGCAGCGCTTAACTACAACTGACACTCTGTTATCACCATTATTCTCAGAGTGAATTGAGAACACAACACTGTGCCACAGTCTCCCTTGGCTGATCCTGTCTTAGCACCTGCATACAGTTTTCCTGAGGACTTCCATGGAAATTTCCCCTTCAGTCAAACACTGAATTGGATGACACCTTGGGAGCCTTCTCTTTGTAGCATTACGAGACAGAAGTTTCACCAGGGATCCTCACACTTTTCCACTTGTTTCTCCTTCTCTATTGTCAGGCAGAGCTCTAGGTACAGGGAGAAGAAGGATGAGGGAAATGTGCTGCAAGCAGACCTTGGCAGAACGGCCTGTCACTCCTTCCCTGTGTCCCTTTCACCCTTTGCCACGGTCCCAGATGTTCTTTGTCCCTGCTCATCGGGTTCCCCAGTTATCCCATGCAGATTTTGTCCCCTGCAACCGAGGACATGTGGATTTTCTTCAGAGAAGAAACACCTGAGGCTGCAGTGGAGAGGCTGCAGCGGCCTGGGTGTCCTCAGGCTGTGAGCAGAGCAGAACAGAGGTGTCCCTGGCAGAGCATGAGTGAATGCAATTGCACTGCACAGCTGCTTTCCACACCCCAGGGCTCTCCCTGCCTGAATCCCAGGGGCAGCCTCCACACCCCACTGCAGGACAAGCTCACTCCTGCCAAAAAAGCAAATCTCCTTGTAGAGGCCAATTGTCAGGGCAGAGGGGACAACAGCATGGATGCTCTCTGTCGTTGCCCAGGGTTCCCAGCCAGCCAATGCCTCCTGTCATTTCTTGGCCAGCCCCACCCCGAGATGTCTCACCCTCACTCACTGCTCCCTCTGCACAAACCTTTGGGCAGCTCCAAGAGGCAGCTTGCTGACAGGGCAGGGGCTCTCCCGTCATGGTTCCCTGCTGTTTCTTTGTGGCCATGCTGGCCCCTCTGGGTAAGTGAACTCAACCCAGGCCTGAGCACCTCCACTCATCCCGCTGCTGCTCTCCCAGCTGTGGAGCCACTTCCTGGCACTGCTTCATCCTGCAGAGCTTTCTGCATGGAGGATCAGCAGGGAACGTGGGGGCAATGGGAAAGCCTGAATCTCCTGCAATTGCCTTTCATTTGTCATTCTTAGTGCAGCACGTAGATGGTTCCTGGGTTTGGATACAAACAGCCCAGGAACGCACCTTGCCTATTGAGGAGAGATTGGAAATTCCCCTACTGATCTGAAGAGCTGTCCCGTGTCTTGAACTGCTCCCTTGGCTGCATAATCTCATCTCACCCTCTGCCTACCAACTCACAGTGCCTAGTTGAGTTTTTATTTCATTTTTTCTTCTTCCTCACTGCTCCTACTTTTCCTTTCCAGTGTTAGCCCTGGAACAGACTCCAGACATGGTGATCAAAGAAGGCCAGTCCGTGAATCTGGAATGTTCCAACAAGAAATCCTCCAGCACAGCTATTTACTGGTTCATGCTGCCTTCAGAGAAGAATTCCAGTCTAACTCTACTGGCATCTGCAGTACAGGGGGGTAATGCAGCAGTGGAGAAGGGTTTTGAGAACCATTTCAAGAGCAGCAAGATAAAAGGAGACAGTATCACACTCTCAATAGAACATGCCTTTCTCAATGACTCTGGCACATACTACTGTGCTGAGGGCGAGCACAGTGGTGAGACTGCTGACGGAGCTGAGCACAAACCAGTCCCTGCACAAACAGGACCTGTTTTCCACTTGTTGCTGCTGCACGAGGCAGGGTGATCACTTCTCATTTTCTGCTCTGCTTCCGGGCCTTTCCTTCCTCCTCTTCTCAGATGCTGACAGTTTATTTGTCCATCAATTCTTCTTGCAACTCCAGGCTTCCCTCGGCATTTCAGTCTTATTTGCACTACACTTGCTTCTGTCACCACTTTTCCTGCTCTTTGTCCCCCTTCCCTTCCCTTCCCTTCCCTTCCCTTCCCTTCCC